TCTTCCGAGTTTTAATTTTTAAAATTTTTCAGTTTTTCGTTTTTCCAAATTTTAAGTGTTTCACTTTTTAGATTTTGCAATTTTCCGATTTACAGTTTTTCGTTTGCATTTGTTATTTTCTTCATTTTTTTCAATTTTTCGTTTGTTAAATGTTCAGCCTTTATAATTTTTTTTTTCATTATATATTTTTTGATTTTTCAACGTACGGATTTTTTAATTTTTCGTTTTTTCAATTTTATATTTTTCAGTTTTTCGATTTTTCATTGTTTCGTTTTTCTATTTATGATTTACAATTTTCCTAGTTTTCATTTTAAACATCTAATAATATGTAATTATAATTTTTAAAATTATTCACTTTTAAAATTTTAGAATTTTAGGATTTTTCCATTTTTCAATTATTATTGGATTTTAAAATTTTTACATTTATTCGAGTTTCCAATTTTTTTATTTTTAATTTTTCAATTTCTCGATTGATGATTTTATAGTAAAAATCGGACTTAAATTGTGTTAAGAAAATATTTTTATTTTATAAAAATATTGGTCGAGGGTTATTTCGGCAGAACTTCCCTCGCCCTTGAAGTACAACACAAATCCAGCTTTTTTTTTTAAAATATCAAAATTTTTGGGATTTTTGTAGCCTGATAACCTCTATAAAGTTAAAATCGATTTAAATTTGTCAGTTTTACAATTTTCCAACTTTCGAATTTTTCAGTGTTTAAATTTTGCAATTTTTGGATTTAAAATTTCTCAAATTTTCGGTTTCCAATTTTTGATTTCGATTTTTTATTTTATTCATTCTTACAGTTTCATTGTTCCATTTTTTATAAGTTTTTGTTTTTTGGCAATTTTAATTTTTTCAATTTTTCAATTTGCAGTCTCACGGGTTTTGCATTTATAATTTCAGGTTTTCGATTCTTTAATTTTTCGTTTCTTCAAATTTAATTTTTTTTGTTTCTTCAGTTTTTTGATTTGTAATTTTTCGAGTTTTCAAAATTAAATTTTTCAGTTTTTAAAATCTCCCAATTTAAAATTTTTCAACTTTTGGATTTTGCAATTTGTCGATTTAAAATTTCTCGAGTTTTCAATTTTTGAATTTTTAATTTTTCGATTCTTTAATTTTTCATTTCTTCAAATTTTCGATCTGCACTCGGTTTTTTGTTGTCTTTATTTTTACAAGTTTTCCATTTTTCAGTGTCGCAATTTAAATTACTTTCTTTTTCAATTGATTTTTTTACAATTTTTCGTTTCTTCAATTTCAATTTGTAGTTTATTCAATTTTTAATTTTTTTGTTTCTTCAAATTTTCGATTTACAAGTTTTATAATTTTTTTCAGTTTTGGGATTTTACAATTGTTTGGTTTTCAATTTTTCGGTTTTTCAACTTTCAGATTTTTTATAATTTTTCCTGTTTTCAATTCTAAATTTTCAGTTTCTTGATTTTCCAATTTTTTTCATTGTGAAATTTTCGGTTATTCAATTTTTCGATTTTTCAACATTTTTAATTTTTCGTTTTTGCAACATTTTCAGTTTCTCGATTTTTCACTTTTTGTTTTCATTTTAAATACATATATAATAGTTATTTATGTATTAAGGGCATAATCAGGGAGATTGTGGCACGAGGGAATGTTTAAAGCCCGACGAAGGAGGGCTTTTAATTTCCTGAGTGCCACAATCGACAATTATGCACGTGGTACATACAACGTTTTATTCTATTTTAGTTTATAAACTATTTTTAACGAAATATTGAGTATTTTCGGCAAGACTGTGTGAATTGTGCCGATGCGAATTTTAATACATAGCTGGCTATTATTTTGATGTTGTTATGGATACCACGTTGATTATTTGATAATTCGTTTTTCAAAATGTAAATTAAAGAAGCGGAAAACGTTTATTCAAACGAAAGTTTAGAAGAATTTGAAGTCGGTCAGGTAATGATTTGATAAAATATTGTTTTTCCAACTTAAGAAAAACGTTGAATATCGAAGCGTGTTTGAATAATTAATTGATTAGAGTAAATGAACAATCAATTGTTGCTTAGCAATTTTTGACAGATTTGTGCTAAAAAGGTCAATTTAAGCCCGCATTTGGGTGCTTATAAATAAGATTATGGTTCTAAAATAGAATAATAATTATAATTTTTAAAATTTTTGACTTCCTCAATTTTACGATTTTGGAATTTTTCCATTTTTCGATTTATGGATTTTAAAACTTTTTCAGTTATTCGACTTTTCATTTGTTCGACTTTTCAATTTTCATTTTTAATTTTTCCATTCGAATACAAAAATTGGAAAATTTTTCGATTTTCTAATTTTTGGATTCGATTCGTTTTTCTTTCCAACTTTTCATTTCTTCAGCTCTTCGATTTGCAATTTTTCGATTTTTCAGTGTTTTCCAATTTTTTAGTTTTTGAATTTTCAACTTCTCGAATAAAAAAAAATGGAAACATTGCAAAACTGTAAAAACGATAAATCAAAAATGGTATTACGAAAACGTATAAAACGAAAACTTTGAAAAATTTAGGAATTGGAAGTCAAGAATTGGAAAAATTGAAAAATCGAAAGATTTAAAATTGATGAACGTCAAATTTGAAAAAGTGCCAAATCGAAAAAACGAAATATGGAAAATTAAAGAAATCGAAAAATCGGATGATTCGCAAAACAGAAAAATTTTAAAAATGGAAAATCAAGGAATTGAAAAATCAAAGATTAAAAATTTGAAAAATTGAATAAACTTAAATTTGTAAAGTCGAAAAAAACATTTAAAAAATTAAGGAAATGAAAGAATGAAAAATTGTGACGCATATCGGGAAAATGAAAAATAATATAGCTAAAATAAAAAATTAAAAAAGACACGAAAAACTGAAAAATTGAAAATTAAAAATTGTGAAACTGAATAGTCGAAATATTAAAAAAAATCAGTCCAAAATAATAACAATAATTTCTCCAGTTATAAATTTTAATTTTTCATTTTTTCGATTCTTTAATTTTACATTTTTTCAAATTTTCGATTTACAGTTTTTCGTTTCGGTTTTTTACTTTCTTTATTTTTACATTTTTTGGTTTCTTCAGTTTTTCGATTTGTGGTTTTTCAATTTTTCATTTATTTTGTATGTTCAATTTTCGCTACGTAACTCTTGGAGTTTTCATTTTTAAAGTTTTCAGTTTTTTGATTTGCAATTTTTAATTTTTTAGTTTTTCGATTCGCTAATTTTTCATTTCGGTTTTTTACTTTCTTTATTTTTTTGTTTTTTCAATTTTTCGGTTTTTAATGTTATGATTTTATAATTTTCTTCTTTTCATTGTGAAATGTTTCAATTTTTGTTTTTTTTTTTTTGATAAGTTACAAATTCAACAGCGGCTAAATAGAAAAATTTTAAAAATGGAAAATCGAAGAATTAAAAAATAAAAAATAAAAAATTTGAAAAATTGAATAAACGAAAAATTGTAGTCGAAAAAACATTGAAAAAATTAAGGAAATGAAAAAATGGAAAATGGTGACATAAAATCAAGAAAATGAAAATTAAAAAATCGGTAAAATGAAAAATAAAAATCAAGAACTTGAAAAACTGAGGAGACGAAAAACTGAATCGAAAAGGAAAAATTGGGAAACTGAAAAATCGAAAAATGAAATATTGTAAAATCAAAAAATTGCAGCAAAATGGAAAAAAAGAAGAAATGAAAAATGAAAAACTGTGGTATAAAATCGAGAAAAATGAAATAATGATATCAAAAAATTTAATTTTTGAAAATTATACGATTTGCAAAAAATTACGACAGTGAACATCATAAAAAAATGACCCAAGATAAAAAGAGTTGTATACATTAAACATATCCACAAGAGTTGAGTAAATAAGAAACTGCAAAATGTTGCTATACAATTTTGATTTTTTTTTCCAAAAATCTGGATATCTAGGGTGTGCAGGAATGTGATTTTATAAAATAGTAAAAATGTAACTATTGTAACTTTTGGAGATGACGCCATTTTATTGTTAGTGGGGATGATTAGCCAAGTTTTGTTTCGCGTTTTACCATATACATGAAATTCCTTGACAACAATCAGTCCAGTAGTTAGGGCAACTATCTAAATTGATATGTCACTTTTGTTTTTTGATTTTTCATATTTTCGATTGTTTGATTTTTTGACTTTCGATATTTCCATTTCTCGATTTTTTACGCTGTTTGGATGTTTAGGTTTATCAATTTTTTGATTTTTATATTTTTCGAATTTTGTTTAGCTTACGCTCAGGAAGTAAAAATACGTGGAAGGAAATGCTTGTTATTTTTTCTTGGATTGGAGAAGTTCAAGCTCTGTAACAGTAATTAATCTAGCTTTTGAAAACTTTTGGCCCTTGGGTTTCAACCTGTGGATGAATTTCTCATGTTACTAAAATTTCAGTAGTGTGTATAACAACAACAAATCGATTCAGCGGCCATAACTCACCGTCTTGTCGCCTTCTGGCCACGAAGAGGCGTCTGAAACAGCGTCAAAACCGCGAAATGGCGCCTCGCTATGATACACAACAATTATTTGTGTTTAAGGGCTCGTTCCGTCCTTATGTAATTTTAGTAAATTGTGAATCGCAGGTGTAGAAGCCGTTGTTGTTGCCGGCATCCGCAAAGCAAAGAGAGATTACGGAGTTCCGAAGCGAACTTCATACATCCTTGACAAACTCAAAGTAACCGCGTTAATCATGACCCTTCGGAGCGCCACGTGCGGCGGAAAATTTTCCGCAGCTATTTTTCGGGCGCTTATTTTCAGCGCCAAGAACCTTGTACTTTACTTTATTAAAAATAATAAACCTCTAGTTTCGAATTTGTTTTATTGCGGTTATAACAATAAAGCCTGCACTCGTCCCGAATTTCCTCCTCCTTTGATTAAAATTTTCCGTTTTTCGAGGAAGGAAAAGTCGCTCGAACCGGATCAAAGTATTATAACTATTGGGGAAGACATCGGAAGTTTAATTACTACGAGATATAAAAATGTTCGCTTTTCTTCTTCCAGGACCTATAAATCAACAGATCCGAGTTGGAGCGACGGCCCGACAATGTCGAAGGACGCAAAAAGCATGATATGGGACTATCTGGTCTTTGTGATTTTTGTAATCGCAAGCACCTTTGTCGCCGTCTATTCCCGTTTCTTTGGTCCTAAAGAAAAGACAAAGGCCGATTTTGTTTTTGCTGCTGGCAAAGTTTCCATGGCAGCGATGATGCTGAGTATAGCGAGAGGAACGCTGGGTGTTCGATCATTTTTGGGTGAGTATGACGAAACGATTTATATTTCTTTCTTTAGACGGATAAAATTAGACGCCACAACCTCGAAATGTCTATATTTACAACTCTTCCCACTCAGAAATTCGCTACACGATATTTCTAATATATATACTAAATTTTACAACAATCAGTCCGGTAGTTTGGAAAACTATTTGTCAGACAGACGGAAACGAGGGACCTATGTTTTTGTATTCTAGAGGTCATGAAACGTCGCGAAAACAAAAAGTAGCGGTGGAATTGCTACGCTCGGAAAATATAAAGAGAATTAACGCCGCGACGTCACTGTTCAGAAATACGCGGAAACCCCATGTTTATAAATACGTTCCACAGCACGCTCTTCACGCGTGCAGCTCCTAACTACCTCGTCGATTAACACTTCTGCGATTAACCAGCGACCGGTTTCGTCCGCATTCATCAGTACCGAAAATTTATCGCAGTGCGCCGACTTTATTGTTACAAAGAAAATACTTGGGTATGCTAAACTCGCGTTTATTCGAACAAACAGAACAAATTTATGGCGACACATCCGCTCAATGTAACTTTTCTCTTGTACGAGAAATTTTAAATATCCCAAACAGTCGCTAGTCTGCATACATTTTTTAATCTTTTTTTTTCATTAACTTAACTAGCACTGGTTTACGACAGTTCCGTTTAGAGCCAGCAGCGTTATGACAAATTCACGAAACTTTAACTACCCATGAAAGTTTGCAGCAAGAACAAAACTTGATCTCATTCGAGTATAACCCACTTAAAAAAGTTTCGAGTCTGGAGGAGAAAAAAACGATTAGAATATTCTCGGGGTCGTTTTTAAAGTGGTTGATTTCGAGATTGGCAAACACCATCTTCGCGTCAGTTGAGTGGGGTAGTTTTTAATGATTTTGTTTGGTTTAGGTTATCCGTCGGAATTGTTCTACCGCGGCTCTACCATGTGGGAGACCCTGTATGGGATGGTCCTCGCCTACCCCATCGTCTGTTTCGTCTTCGTCCCCGTGTATTTCAGCCTGGGGATTACATCGGTGTATCAATATTTGGACCTCCGCTTCAAATCTCGTCTAGTCAGATGTTTAGCATCAGGAACTTACATAGTGCGACAGCTCCTGAACCAGGGGGTGACCGTCTTCACCCCCTGCGTTGCCCTCAACACCGTCATCGGCATCCCTTACTGGGCGTCGATCTGCGGGATCACCCTCGTCAGTATTATTTTCACAATCCTGGTAAGTCAAATTCACCAGGGTTTTTACTCAGTGAACTAAAAATGTTTCGCTGTGTGTAAAACCTTGACGGTTTTATTAACTCGCCGGTTTATTATTATCTTTTAATTTTCCGACAGGGCGCCAATTACCCTATTGATTGATTATTTTGGGTTGTAATTTTTCGTTTGGCGGCGGCGATGATGTCGTTTCAACGTCACAATCAATTTTCATTCGCGTCGTGCCGGAGTTCCGATATTAGACAGTTGTTAAGCCTAAGAGATGATTAATATTAAATTCACTTCTTCGCTTCATCGGAAAGTTCACCGGCGGGAATCCAACAAGGAAACAATAACAAAGTTTGGGTTTATGCAGAAAAAAGGAAACTTTTAATACGATATGTAAATACAAGACATATTTATAAGTCCGAAGTTTGCTCGTAATACAAATTTACATAAAATTTCAAAGAGTCGTGCAAACTGTGTGAAACACTTAAATTGATTGTGCATTGAACGAAGAAAGGGAGGCTGAGGAAATTTTAATTTGCTTTATTCTAGCGCTACTTCGCCGAATCGGGATTATTACACGCGCATAATTCCAAATACGAAACGCTGCGAGGAAAGCCGGAACTCGGAATAAAACGAAACTTTTTGTTGCTCTGGAATAATTACACGAGCGACCCCAGAAATCGAAATGCACATGCTAACGCGGTGACGTCACAGGCGTATTGTGTGTTGCATACACTCTAATGGATCAATGTTTACAGTGATCATCGGCTACTAGATAATTGGCTGCCACTTGAGGAAGCCATTTATTTTGTTTACAAATGTCGTTTTCACTAATTTATCCATTTTCCGTGTTTTATTTAATTGCTTCTTGATTAGTTTCATTAGCATACATTTGGCGCTTTTGTATTTGCCTTGACAAAATTTGTCCGGTAAGCAGCGACGAGAATCAAGGTGAAGTTCATTACCTGTAACTATCGCAATTACCGCACGCGAATTCATAATTTGATAATTTCATAAAAAAATAATCCCCGTAAATTGACTAAATGGTATTATATTAAATAAATTAAATTGTGAAACTCTTGTGCGTTGTAATATAATGGCGCGCTTCCTGTCGATAAATTATTTCAAACGTCAATTATTATTTAACTCAAGCAATATTACCCATACATTAGCCTGGTGATATATTGTGTTATTTCCTCGGTAACATTACCCCATTTACATTTACACCTGCTCTAATATACGTCGTTCATGATCTGCCCCCTTCATAACACACTTAAACAATTGGTTATTTCGTAGTGAAAATTAACATAATATAAAAAACGAGAACAATAATAAATATAAATAAGGGGCAGTCTCCTCGTCACGGTTGTAGTTGAATTCCGGTTCTCTGCGCAATCCGCTCGTCGTAGACGGAATTGCGACACTCGGCGTGACTGTAAAGTAAGATTTATAAACTTTCTGGAGGTTGAAGTTCCCGTTGCAGTTGCTGTTCCCGCTGACGTTGCTTTTAGACCTGAAACTTGTCATTTATAAACTCCGGTGTCAGGTTACCGTTGATAATAACTTTGAAGTTCAACTTTTGCATTATTTAAAAGGATTGTAGAGGAAAAGTGAAGGATTTAAATTGATTACTACAAAAGTTGACTATTTTAGACATGTCTTAAGTTTCTTGTTGCCGAAATAAGTCTACACATATTAAGAAAAAAAAGCAAAATATAAACCCCGCCCACCCACCCCGTCTCAATTGTGCTGAATATTTTATTCTTAGAACCTTAAAACACGTTTAAAATTTATAAATTTTTGTAAGAAAATATGTATTTTTTTATTCGTCGTGAGCTTAACTGCAAAATCCTTATTATTTCTCTACAAGAAATTACCATGTAAGACATATTTTTGAGTATCACATTATTCAAAGATTACTATGTAATATATTAAGAAAAACTTAAAGCTGAAGATTAAGCCCTACATACCTGCCCTGATATAAATAGAAATGAAGTTCTCATTCATTGACAGACTGGATGGCGGAGCCTAATTGCAAAATCCATATTTCCTTACAAAAATGTACCATTTTAACAATGTTTTAAGTTTCTTGTTGCCGAAATAAATCTACACATATTAAGACAAGAAAGGTAAAATATAAGCCCCGCCCACCCACCCTATCTCAATTCTGATAATTTTTTTTATTCGTCGTTAAGCCGAGGGGCGGAGCTTAATTGCAAAATCCATATTTCTTTACAAAAATTGACCATTTTAAACGTGTTTTAAGTTTCTAAAAAGAAAAAATCATCACAAATGAGATGGCGTGGGTGGGCGGGGTTTATATATATTTTGCTTTTTCTTAATATACAGACTATTCTTTAAACAATACTCAAAAACATCTTTCTAATTTCTTGTAAAGAAATAAGTATTTTGCAGTTAAGCTCCGCTACCTTGATTCACGGCGAATTAAAAATAGTCACAATTGAGATAGGGCGGGTGGGCGGGCTTACATTTTGACTTTTTGTTTTAATATGTGAGACTTCTTTTCACAACATGAAACTTAAAATATGTTTAAAATGAAAAATTTGTATAAGGAAATATCGATGTTGCAAATAGGCTCCGCCCTATTTTTGCAAAATCTATATTTCCTTGCAAAAATGTATCATTTTAACCTTGTTTTAAATTTCTTGTTGCAAAAATAAGTCTGCATATATTAAGAAAAAAAAGGTAAAATATAAGCCCCGCCCATCCACCCTATCTCAATTCTGATGATTTTTTTTATTCGTCGTTAAGCCGAGGGGCGGAGCTTAATTGTAAAATCCTTATTTTTCTACGAGAAATTATCAAGTAAAATATGTTCTTAAGTAATCGTGTTATACAAAGCAAACTAATTAATGTATTAATTAAAAAAGAAAACGAAAAGAGAAGCCTCACCCATCCGTCTCGATCTCAATAGTAATGAATTTTTAATTCGTTGTCAGACCGAGGGGCGGGCCTTAATTGCAAAATCCATATTTCTTTAGAAAAATTTACCATTTTAAACGTGTTCTAAGTTTCTAAGAATAAAAAAATGATCACATTTGAGATGGGGTGGGTGGGAGGGGTTTATACAGGGTGTCCCAGAATTCGCGCCATTCCCGTGAATGACATGTTCCCTGTCCCGAACTGTGCCGTAATTCGCAAAAAGAATTGTCCAGGCTTTAACCGTGTGAGAACTGGAAGGCGATTAAGTTGACCAATAGAGAGGCTGCTTTTATATCCGAACGTTTCTATGTTCAAAGTTACCTATGCCAAGAACAAAAAATCGGGTAATACTAAAGTTGAATGAATTTTTTCCGAATCCCCCTCCGTCAACAAAAGGAAACAGAAGTGTGGTTATAAATTTAATCATTTTGACAATTGTTTGTCATAAACTGTCACGAAGTTTATCACTGACCTGAAGAGACGCTTCTGCGCCAAAGATGACTGATTAATGTACACAGAGACGTCAAGGTTTACTTTAAGGCAAGTAGCATGGGACAGAAGTTATTTCTGCTGCCATTCTAGTTAAATTGTGTTTAACTGGGCTGTACATGTCATAAGAGAAGCTGTTTCATTTCATCGTAGGCAAATAATACATTTATTACTATTCTACATAGAGTAGCTACCGAAGAGCAGGTATTAGAAGTCATTTTCTTAGAACCCCGTGAATAATCGTCGGCACCCAGACCAACATGTGTTTCACCGATTGTTACATCGAGCAAGAGAAGATCTTTTCAACCTAGTCGGAAAGGCCGTGCTGGGGCTCCACGGAATGTACGTGTAGGTGCTGAAGAGCAAGTGTTAGGAAACATGGAAGCGGATCCTAGGAGAAGTGTCCTCTACGTAGCGCAAATTAGTGGATGTTCAAGATCGACCACTCATCGTATCCTTCAAGAGAGAAGACTGCATCCTTACCATTACACGAGAGTGCAGCATCTGCGACCAACCGACTACCCGCGACGAGTACATTTTGCTCAATGGTTACTGCGACAAAATGAACTAAATCCTGATTTTACACGGCGCATTCTTTTCACCGACGAATGTTCATTTTCCCGAGAAGGAATGTTTAATGCACACAATTGGCATTTCTGGGCACACGAAAATCCACATCTCACTAGGGTGAGAGCATATCAGGAGCGATTTACTATTAATCTATGGGCTGGAATCATTGGTACTACTGTGGTAAAAATTTTAATGCATCTGATAAAATTATCAGATTACCTGATCGCCTTAATGGGGATGCATATGCTAATTTTCTACGACTAGAGCTTCCGGCATTGTTGGAAGACGTTCCTTTGAATGTACGGCGGAATATGTGGTTTCAGCACGACGGCGCTCCTCCACATAATTCGATACTTGTACGACGAACATTGAAAAGAGTATCGTCATAGGTGGATTGGGCGTGGCAGTACTAATATCTGGCCTCCTAGATCTCTAGACCTTTCTGCTTTGGACTTTTTTTTGGAATCAAATTAAAAATTACGTATATAGAGAACCCCTAGATATGTTAGAAGAACTGGAAGAGAGACTGCACGAAGCCTACGCTACAGTTACTCCTGAGATGTTACATAATACACAACACAACATAATTCAACGAGCTAGAACTTGCATTGAAGTTAATGGTGGTCATTTTGAGCACATTGTTTAATAACGTTACAGTACGACGATTCCAGCCCATAGATTAATAGTATTGCTCTTGATATGCTCTCACGTTAGCGAAATGTGGATTTTCGTTTGCCCAGAAGAAGTGAATTGTGCGCATTAAATATTCCTTTTCGGGAAAATCAACATTCGTCGGCGAAAAGAATGTGCCGTGAAAAATCAGGATTTAGTTCATTTTGTCGCAGTAACCATATAGCAACATGCACTCGTCGCGCAGTCGGCTCGTCGCAGATGCTGCACTTTCGTCAATAGTAAGGATGCAGATTTTTCTCTGTAAGGATACGATGCATGATCGATCTTGAGCATCCAATCATTTGTGCCACTTGTTCTTCACTGTCTATGCGTATAATCCGT